GTTTAGATTGTTTTTCATAAACACTATAACTAATTTTAAATTGGTATACTAGTAATATAAAAAATATACTATTGCCTTTGTCGCAACTCTGAAAAAAAGTATGGTAAAAACTACAAGAATATGGTAAAATTTACCACGTTTCTGGCTCAAGGACAAAGCTTAGTAATTTTTACCGAAGCGTTTTGGTAAAATTAACAAAAAAGTATCGTTTTGTAACAATAAGTATCGTTTTGTAAAAAAAAGTATCGTTTGTGTGATAAAATTTTGTAAATGTGGTAAAATTAGATAATTTTATTGTGGTATCTTTGAGAATGACATATACATTATTATATTAATTACTTTTCAATTTTGTGTTTTTCACTACATGTGCGATAATAAGAACTATAATTTTGAAAACCAGAATTAACAGTAAACCGTTACAAATGAACGGAAAATATCGTATATTTCCGTTTTTAATACGAATATTTTTTTTTTTTTTTTGAAAAACTAGAAATGTTACTGCGGTGCTCGCCACTCTCACCAGTCTTACCGCCAGCTTGGCGATTTAAGATCTTCAGGTAAAAGCAACCCTGTGATCCTAGTGATATATATTCTGTCCTTCAGAGGAAGAACAGCCACTTACCTTTTCAACTTTTTCACTAGCTAGCTTGGTCGCAGGACGACCCATAATGTTTAATTTAGTTTATGTTATATTGATGTTTGTGTTCATGAAATAAATATGCTTTAAGAGAAACCCGCATTTCGTACTCACTTCATTACTATAATTTTTCAGAATTTTTTTTTCTTCTTCGCAAAGCTCTGCACACTCTTCTAGTCAAGGCCGCAGCCAGGATATTTTTTATTTGGGGGGGGGGTATGGTAAGAAGCTAGGACAGTTTCAGACATGCATAGTAGGGGAAAAACATTGTTACAAATATTGTTTATTCTGTTGCTTGCAAACGTTAAACTAGTATTTAAAAAATATTACATAATAATTATTTTTCAATTAATATTACATAATAATTATTTTTCAATTAATGTTACATAATAATTATTTTTCAATTAATATTACATAATAGTTAAAATCAATTTGTAAACAAAGTTTACAAAGACATGCGACGGGGATTTGAAGAAAATTTTTCGATTACATTTGTAGGACAAACCGGAATATCCCGAAATATGCTTAATAAAGTTAGCCCTGTTAGCCTTTCTTTTTTAGTAGCATTTCTTGTTGCTTTTTTTACGCGTTTAAGAGTAGAAAAAAGTTCTTTTTGCAGTTGCTGTGGTAATTCGCAACGTAGCCAATATTGATAACAAGCAATAAATGTTTGGGAAAAAGATACTGTTACATTCTTCCATTACTGAAAGTGCCGTATCTGGTTTGCTAAGGCAGGGCTCGAAAAAACTCAGAAATTTTACCCGTCCCCGAGGACGGTTTGTCCAACAATATACCCGTCCTCCTTTGAAACTAACCCGTCGCTTTTAAATAAATAAAAATATAATTTCCTCTCATTAATTACAAACATTTATATAAATTGCACCATGAGTTAGTAGTTACTAGGATTACATTATACAGTAATAAAAGAGATACTAGGTTACTGATAGTAACCTAGTATTTCTTTTATGAAATAATTTCTTTCTTTTATGAAATAATTTAAATGACAAAGGTCAAGTTATCTGGAATGTTAATTTATAAGAGGGTACTGCGTTTCTTAAATGAATCAAATGTGACGTTTGCCAGTTCCACAATCAAGCCAATGATTTACAGAGGTTTCTGCACAGAAATCTGAAAGGGGTTTTCCATTTAGGTAGATGTTTATAATTGCGTTTATAACGCAACTTGTTTAAAACCAGTACGTAATGTGTTTTTTTCTAAGTTCATTGCTGAGAAGCCCCTTTCAAGCGCTGCAGTACTCCCAAACAGCGAAAACATCAATTCCACCATACGCAGTATGTTGCTGTATTCTAGTGAAGGTGGTGTACTGGGAAAAGGTTTGATTCGACAGTTTTTGTTTTTCTTTTTACTGTGAGGCTCAAAGAAAGACTAAACAGTTTGAATCCCAGAACATAGACCTAACGGTCCCCCCCCCCTGACTACGGGCCTGCTTCTAGTGGATCTTTTGCAATGCCAAACGCCTAGAAAACTTCAAGGAAAATTTTGAAACTCAGCACTATTTACAATAAAGGGTTTTATAACTTTTGCAAATTTAATCCCACTCACTTTAAAATTGAACAATCTACATATTATTGGTCTATTTCTCGTTGTATGTAGATAATTTGTTAAGTATGATAACAGCTTTTTATTTGTTAAATGACAAATCTTTACTTTTAAGTTATTTTTTGTTACTTTCACCATTTTACTAAAAAAACTTTACAAAAACTTCTATGTGTAAGTAAAGATACACCAATAATGTTGTGTATAGAATGTGTATAGAATGATAAATTGTAAAGTAAATTCAATATGCTATTAATAATAATTTTTTGTTCAATATGCCGACATTTTCTTTAAAAAAATAACTTATGTACAAAAATTTTTGCATGCAATAATAACTTACTTTTTTGTTGTTTGATAGTCGATAGATTGAAGTACATTTGATGATATTTTTCATTCAGAATACTGTTCTTTGCAAGCAATTATTTTACAAAAACTACATCTATATTAAAATAGGGAGTGGACAAAACTATGAAAACACTTCTATTCTAACTCATTTTTTCCTATTTCTCAAGATATACTTAGAGAATCATTTTATGACGAGTTTAGGTTATAAAATTTCTCGCACATATGAATGACGTTTAAGGTTTGAAAGACCAACAATAAACTACGAACAGAATAAATTGTTCTTGAATACCCTATCCCAAAAAAATTCAGGAATAGGCGTGTAACTTATAACAATTAATTTAATTATTATATGCAATAATTGCAGGAAATTTCGTAAACCTAGCTTGAATATTCATGGACATATGGACATTTTTCTGAAAAACTAATATTTTTGCATAACGTTTTTTTTCTTCTTTACTATGACTTCGGAAATTTTCAATAAAATTAAATAAAATTATTGACAAAAATATCGTTTCAAAATTGGATTAAAAAAATTCATTTCAAATTGCTCAACATATGAGCATTTAAAGTAATCCTTTCATATTGCGCATGCGCGGAAAGATTTAAAAGAAATTTTTCTACATAATTTGAATATGCTGAGAATTTAAAAAGTTTCTAGCAATTTTCCAAGTAGTTTTTGAAAATCTTGAAAAAAAAGTTTTGAATGGTTCACAAAATATATGTTGTACTATTTGCTAAGATTTATTAAAAATGACATCGTCATTACATAGAACCATTCCCTATTAAAGTATGTTTTATTTTACTCCCTTTCTTTCCAAACACTATCACATTTTGTCGCCCGAGCTATCATTTTTCATAAAATTATAGGGGATAGGTAGGGTTATTATCACTTTTATTAAATTTTGTTATATGATAAAAATGAAATCAGCAGCAGACCTTATTCAGAGCAATGTTCCAAAACTTATATAAACAAATTTCGAAAAATTGCTTAAATTTTCAAGATATTCAAATTGAACTTTTTTCATTAATTACCTAATACGATTCCCTACATTATGAAAAAAACGTGTTTTAGTTTTCTATGCTTGGGCAGTATAAAAAAACTAGTTTAAATGCTCATAATTTGCAAATGGATACAAAACTAAAAATTAATAGCATAAAAAAATTTAACATGTCAATTTTCTGGCATGTCCATAAGAATTTTTAGAAATAGATATCGTCAAAATGATTGATTAATGACAATGATAGATATCTGCAATGGTGAATCTCTTTAATTCTATTACAGTTAGCGTCCTTCATATTCATTCATTTATCATTTAAAAATTTATAATCTGGTTAAAGAATCAACCTACATGTGTAATATAGTGGACTAGAAAAATAAAACGAATCAGTTTTTGTTATTGTTGTTTCGCAATTAATGGACACGAAATTGAGTACACGCTCAAGATTAAAGACGACTAAATACACTTAAAAAAACTTTTTAAGAAAATTAATTTAAAAGATATTTTCGTATTTAAAAATATTTGTTTTACGATTAGAAAAATAGAATTACCTACTTGTTACATGGAGATACACGCGAGTCTGGATCACTATAGCACCAATTAAAAAAAACTGTATTCTTTAATGCTGTTCTATTACATTCATAAAGTGCTGACACGTGAAGAAATTGTACTGGTACTTTGAAACTTAGTAGTTTACTTGTTTCTTTTTTACTTCAAACTTTTCTATGTCTACTTTTGATAATATGTGTTTAAATTGACCACCTGATCCGCGTAGTATTGTTTACATAGTGAGTGTGAAGATACCAGATTAACACTTTAATGATACCATCAATTACAGTTAAGTATGTGAGTAAACTATCTCTAACTGAGATTGAAATAAATTACTAGAACAATGAAGAGGACTATTACCAAACTATTTTTATTCAAGAAATGTAAAATTTTCTTTAATTTAATAGTATAAAAAATTATACTCCATTAATTAATATAAACGAAAACATGTTTAATAGAAACATGGTAGTTGCTGAAGTCGATCAAATGTATTCTGATTTTGTATTATTAACATTTCACATTTAATCCTTTTATAGCATAACTTTATTCATATTGAACATATATTTTGTAGCATAACAATATTTGTTCCGAAACCATTTTAATGTATGAGTTCAAACAGTACATCTGCATTAACTCTATATTTTTATATTGTTTTACGTAATAATAAGGTTGATTGCTGTTGTTAACAATAGACATCGATCGTTCCGTTTCACACTGCGAAACACCGAAGGGTACAGAACATTTTAAAGATAATTTGTTCACCAAATTGATATGCCGCTTTATGACAGTTTTTTAAACGATGCATGAACAAACCTACTTGGAACAATTACTTTATTTAATAAGTATATTATATTTGTTGTAATAAGACATATCCATGAATATGCTCATTAATGTGCAAGTTTTTCTATCAACAGCTATGGCGGAAGAGGAGGAGGTGGCAGAGGAGGTGGTGGTCGAGGCAGTTCGTCTAGAGGCAGTTCATCAAGAGGTAGCTCATCTAGGGGTAACACAAATCGAGGTACAACTTTAGACAGAAGTCGAGACAGAGGTTCTAAAAGTGATAGCAATCGTAATCCACAGGCTCCTGCTCCTAAACCAGAACCTCCTAAACCAAAAGCGTCTGTCAGACCTTATGTACCCTCTCCTGCACCAGCACCTAAACCTTCAGCTCCAGAAGTGCGGCAACCAGCTCAAAATCCAAACTTTAAAGAGACTCCCAGTCAACCAGCAAATAATCCAAATTTTAAAGAACAGAGTGCAAACCAGCAAGCCAATAATCCCAACTATAGAGGACAAAATACTCCTGGGAACCAGCAACCTCCACCATATGCTCCAAGAGAAAATCCTCCAGGGTATTCGCCAGTCGGTCAACAACCACCACATTCACCAGGTGTTGCACCACCTCCCTATTCAGCAGGTGGTCATCAACCAGCACAAGCTCCTGGTGGTGCTGCGCCTCCACCATACAGTGCTCAAGGTCCTTCGTATAATCCGAACATGGGTAAATTTTCCTTTTGTTTATTTATATTGTTTAAAAAAAATTAATCCTTATGGAATACTTAAATCATTTTCGACAAATCGAGGTGTATTTTCCTACTAAATAAAAATCCTACTAATAAATTTTCCAACTAAATACTAAATTTCTAAAAACAGAAATTTTAAAATTTTATATTTAGTAAGCCTAAAAAGTTAGATAATGAAAAACTCTGACGCAAATAAAAACATCATCCAGATTTTATTTATGTTCTAAATCAGAGAACGAAAAGTCTTAGAAAATATAATTCTGACCGTTAAAGAACGGAAATGCATTATTGATCGATAGATGGTTAGAAATAAAAGTGCCACGTTATGTGATGAAACCTTAAAAGCTATGAAAATCGTGCTTCTTTATTTAAAAACTGACAAAGAAATAGAAATTTGAGGGGTATCAATACTGATCTATGGTGATTTAAATCATGTATACTGATCAGGATTTTAATTCTTTGAGAAAATACTTTACAAATAGCCTACGAAGTGAAAGTTATCAGAGAACACGATTTGTATCTCATATTGCTGAACAATGTAAAAAATTAGCTGTTATTCGTTGGCAGAGTTTTTTTTCTTCCAATTATGCAAACATCAAAAAATAAAAAATTCTGACTAGTATTGTGAAAAAATAATGATAATTGTATTTACAAAATTATCCCTTTACGTTATTTTTCAACAATTGTAAGGAATTGCCTTTTTTGTTTTGTAATGTAATTACCGAAACGTGTTTATTATTATAAGCTATTTGACTTAAATCGAGTAGAAAAGAACACCAGTTTCCATTTTAAATTGCAGCTCGTTGTTGTTTTCAGTTTACATTTGTGTTTGTAAAAAATCTTCAAACGAATCCCATTTGTGCAGGTTAGCTAACTATATGAAGTTTTGTGTTTTCACTTTCGATTCAAATTACTTCGAAAAACAATTTTATTTTGATGAAGTTTCTTGTAAATTAAGCTATAAGGCTATATAAACAGAATGTAGGGGAGAACTGGGTATGACCGGGTAGTAGGGAGAAACTGGGTCCCTTGATTCTGGCGAAATTAGTTCTGTTTTTTTAGCGAGCAGACTCTAAATTGCATTCTACCAGATAAGAAGAAAAAGCTGCCATATTGGCGGGTTGTTGTTGAGTTCATGGTTTTTGTGTAGATAAATTTTTTTTACTGTGTCAACTCTCCAATGTTCTTTTTTTAAACTATCCTAATTCATTGGTCATTGCAGTTATACTCGCAAAAAAGTCCTTTAGCCCATCTTATTATACGTATACTAAATATTCAAATGCTAACAAACAATAAGGATTTAGTCCAGTAGTAGCATGGTTCTGTTTCGTTTCGATAACCTCTGATCTCGGGGTAAGGCCGGGTACGGTGAGTTAGGACCAGATGCTAAAACTGAAACTAAACTCAGTGACACGACAGCCCATACAGGGCCAAGGCCTACTGTTCCCATCTAAGTTTTCTTGACCTAGGGCTCTGGGGTGCAGGAGTTCCAGTTTAGGTGGTCAAGTGAACGCGAAATCCCCAGTGTTTAGTTCCCAAGCATGCTTGGCACTCATTATTCGACCCACTGAAGGGATGGAAGGCTGAGTGAACCTTGCCCGGCCCGAGGATCGAACCCAGGACCTGTGGCACGGGAGAGCGAAGCGCTACCACTCTGCCACCAGGAGTCTAGGACCAGATGCTACCCTCATTATATTAAAGCGATTTAGAATATCAGGAGAACGAAAAGAAAAAAGATGATTTAAAAAAATCTGTTATCAAGGAAGAGAAAGTTGTTTTACAGTAACTTTAAAAAAAATGGAAAACCTCAAAACAAAATGGCAAAAAAAAGAACCAATATGATACAACAGTTCTATCAAACAAACTTTAATCCTCGATTAATTTCTTTTTCCGATGAAGACGATAAAACAAATCAGACATTGTTTGTTTATATTGTAATAATATATTTTCCAAGTAAAGAAGAAAAAAAGAGAAAGGTGGGTCCAATATGGAAAATGTTTTTCTAGGCCCGAGAAAGCTGCGACGAAGCGGTAGAAGATAACTACTTCATATGTGAATTAAGTACATAATACATAATATTCTTAAACTGTCATTCGAAATTAAAAAGTATTTGCTACTTTTTAATTGAAATTCTTAATTTTCTATAAAGTTTTGCGTATGAACCCGGTTTTACCCCACCAGTTGGTGTAAGTTCAGGTGATTTAGCTTTCATAAGAAAAAAAATTTTTATGAAAAAAATTATTTATAAAAAAGGTAGTGAAGCCTACAGAATTATGTTCAGAATTAGACAATGAATATATTGGTTAAATCTGACTGTTTCTGAGTCGAACACTTTATTTGCAACAACCTTTCGAATCTTAGCTAGCTGGTCTTACCTCCCTTTCTCGAACTATACATTACAAATCGAAGCAGTTTTGAAACAATTTTATGACTAAAAATTTACTAATGAATTTAATTTGGCAATTACCCAATTAAATTTGAAGGGAGGCATTATAAAGTTATAACAAAGCGCAATGCGTTTGAGGTAAAATATTACATTGAAAAAAATTCAGTTGTAATGCTAATAACTGCACAACTCACTTTCTTAACCCTTGCCTACATGATTTAATCTTCTCCAACAGCTCTAACAGCTTCCATATATGCTCGTTCAAACTAATTTGACTTTAAAAACTTTTTTTTAATTAGATGCTTCATAGTATAAGCTTATGTCTCTTTTTATATTCTAGGAGTTCCCAACGCTAATTACCCGAGACAACCAGGGTCACAAGGTATACCAAATGCAAACTACCCTAGGCAGCCGGGGTTACCGTCCGCACCTGGAGGACCAAATTATCCATCTCAAGGTGGTATACCTGGAGCCAATTACCCTAGACAACCAGGAGGTATACCTGGAGCCAATTATCCTGGACAACCAGGAGGTATACCTGGAGCCAATTATCCAAGACAACCGGGAGGTATACCTGGAGCCAACTACCCAAGACAGCCTCCAGTTGCTCCAAATACTCTGGGAGGACGTGTTTGGCAACCCCAATCAGGGGTGCCAGCTCCAGCTTATATGAACTATGGAGGATTGCCAACAGGTTCTAACATGTACCAAAAGCCTCTAAAGAAGCAAGGATTTCTGGGCTCTCTTATGTCTATGGGCCCATCTCACAAAATGGGAAAAACACCAAAATATTATGGATCCTATCCGAGTCCTTATGGCGGAGGAGGAGGTTTTGGCGGTGGAGGTTACGGAAGAGGAGGTTTCGGAAAACATGGTGGTGGGTTTTCAGGGAGGTCTGCAGCTATGTATACAATATTGCCTTTCATGGCAGCAACTACTCTGCTTAGTGCTAGTAGTATGTTTAGGCCTAGATTTGGTTTTATGCCAATGTTTTTACCCAGTCCTTTTCATCATCATCATTATAGCTATGGCTCTGGATATGATGGATATCATAATCATCATTATTACGATGTTTATAATAATGAATATGGTAAGTATAATCCAATATTTTAAAGAATTTTTTAATAACTCATTTATGTAGTCCAAAATTTAGGATGAAAATAAATTTACATCATTATAATTCTTTCTTGCTATACATAAATATAACAAGGCAAGATCACTCCCAGCTAATGAGAACAGTTATTTCCTTTATCCTGCCATGACTTTGTCAAGCAGTGTTTAAAAATTAGGATTGTTTTTTTTCCTTTAATTATTATTATTATTTAGTAAAAACAAGTATAGAATATACATATTATTGAAAAGTAGCTAACTGAATATACATTTATGTAAAGCAATTTATGTGCATAAAAAATTTATTAATATGGGTGTGATGAAGTTAGTATTCTCACAGCTTTTAATCCAGATAGTGAGATAATGATGCAGTAAAAAAATTGTAGAAATTGCTGCCGGTATGGGAAGGAGATACAGCTTAGTAGGTAGTTAAAACTCATTTAAAGCATTATCCTCAAGGGTTACATTTTATTGCTTATTTATTTTCATTGTAAAATATAACTTTAGTGTTAAATATAATTTTTAGGATTATTGATGCATCGCGTTTTATTAAGATCTTTCTCATTACTGTTTCAGCTGGAAAATGCAACCGTCCACTCACACCCAAGTACTCCAATATCTCATGCAACTCCACAAATAGAGAGATGTAAGTATTTTTTTTTTATATTAGGATATTGAATCTCTTTTTGCGTATCGCTAAAATTAGGACAGACATAGTGATTTTTTTAGTTTAGTCTAACTATGTGGCCAAAAAACTAACCGTGACAGAGGTTCAAACCTGCGGGTGTCGATGTTAAAAGCATACGCCATATACGTTGAGCTATCCAAGGTCACAATAAAACATATTTATTAATTAAATAACTAAACTAAATATGTTCAAATGTTTTCACCCGAAGCCTTTTAGTTTAGTGAAGAAATTTTATGATATGAATGGTAATTTGATAACGTTGAAAAAAAATTGCAAAAAACTAAAATATCGTAACGCGTTTGGAAATATGGTTTTTAAAATAACATATATAGCTTTTATTTTTATAAATGTAGTTTGTCTGCTATTTTTAATGGAACTTAACTTAGATATAATAAAACAAAATCACGGAACTCACAACTTTTTCCATTTTCCACGAGAGTCTAAAGAGGTTTTTAAGCCTATTGAATAATAATTCAATAAAATAGCTTTTTTTAGTGTGTTTTAACTGAGTGTGTGGAATGTTGATCTACGAGAATAAGAGGTTTTAAAACATATGCAACAAAAATTAAGTTGCTAAAAAAATTATTGCATTCAATAATTGTGCTGTAAGAAATATCAAAAACTTACTGATGAAAAATAACAAATCTGATCTGAAATTGTTAAGTGAATGTAATTTGTATTAATAACTGATCCCTCTGAAGACAAATCTATAGCTTATTAAAATTCTTGATTTATACGATATATCAAACCTTTCGAAAAAACTATCTAGACAGAAAAGATATTATTCGTGACTTCTCTTTGAATTTATTTACAAATGGCTTATAGACAAAAATAGTACTTATACTGTAATCAGGTGTTCAATGGCTAAATGTTTAAGAAATATGCAAAACAAAAGAAGGATGATCAAACCTCTATGATTGAGCCTTCCATGTTTACCTTTATGTTTGTTTACAAAGCATGTCATACACGTTGAATTGTATGACTCATTTTGCACAATTTAGGTGCGATGTTATGTTTATCTAAAATAATAATAATAATAAGTAAGAAGTTACATAGTTACTTCTAGAATTAAATTAATTTCTTGGTTTCAATCAATTTTAAAAAAAGAAACTGTTATGTACATCAAAAAATTTGTTTTTGCATTGAAGAAACGAATTATCTTTGTTAGTTTTGCAACATTTTTTAAAATTGAATTAATTTATTTATTGGAATTTCAATTTTTATTTATTTATTTATTTTTAGCAAATGTGAAGCGAATTGCCAAGAAGGATATCGCTTTCCAGAGAACACAACATCCAAGGGGAACATATGCTGGCACGTGACTGGAGTTTGGAGACCAACAAAGAACTTCCCTGATTGCCAACGTAAGTATGAAAGCAGCAAAAATGAATATTATGTTGTTAATCAACTTTGAACGGATCATGACCATTTAATGCACCTAAATTCTTTATTAAAATGATGTTTAAATGATTTCTCAATTTACCCTGATATGGAAAAGGTTACACTTCTGCTCAGACGAAGAGAAGTCAGCTGCTTAGTAAATGCGACGAAAATTTTTACTTCTTTATTTTTCTTAAGAAACGACTTGGATCAACTTTGTAAAAGCTGTTTAATAATTTTGACATTTTTGCTTATCAATGAAATATTCGCTTAAATGCTAGTAGTGATGATATTAGTGCTACTGAAGTAGATTAATGATATGAAATCCTCTGATTTTAATAGTTGATACGCATGAAAATATTGAAATCAACTGATTATAATTATTGGTACGAATAAGTGTGAAAATTATGGTACTTATCAGTTTCGAGGGTCGTGAAAAATTACCTAACTATTATTAATGAAGGTGATTAATTAATAGTAGTAATAGTTACAACTGGCATTTCGGTAATGGGCAGTGTATATTGCGGTAATAACTACTTTCTATACTAATATCGGTTCTGTAATAATAGGTATTTTATAGCATTAAAATGGATAAGAACTAAAATGATCCTCTAAATAAAGGTGAAAATGATATATTGAATAAATGTTATGATTATTCACTGATTCAATGCTGAGTTCAAAAGGGACTTTGATCTTCATGCTGTTAATTCGATTTATTACGCTTATTATATTAATGATTAAATTGATTATATTTTTATATACATTTCAGCTCTACTTGGAAATTACATTTGGAAAAAAAATATTCGTAGAATTTCAGAATTTTCACAATTCTAAAGCCACCACATTTTTAAGTACTTTATTCCATAAGTAAATCGCGAAATACTTTATAAGAGAATCATAGCACCATAGCTGGCAAAAATACTTAGTATTCCAAAGGTTGAAGCAAAATTATACACGAATTCACGAACAATGTGAATCAGTATATGAAGCATAAAAAATAGGTTATTCTAAAAATTTAATATACATTATTGCAAATTTTGGAAGCAAAACAGAGACGGAATTAAAGTATTTCACTTTTGACAGGTCTGTTAATCATTATAACTAAATATCTGTATATCAATATAACATTAAAACTAAAGCATAACCAATTTTTGTTAGGAAACCTGGCGTATCAAAAGCAGAAGACAAAAAATATTGATCAGTTATTTGCTAAAAGTTTAATTTTAACTTCTGTCCAGCTTCTTAACCTAAATCCTGCTCTTTTTTTTTAATAACATACGTATTACGCACGCGTAAATATTGCACTAATGTTATTCAAAAGCAAGACTCGTTCTTGTCTGTCTTTTCACCTCTTCTCATACTTTCAATAATCTGCTAATAGGTTTAATACTTTTATATAGTACAACTAAGACTTAAATTTAAATAACTAAAATGTGGAGCAATCAATTCGATTCATGATTTTTATTGAGTTCGCTGAACAAGACAAGCAATAATCTTATTTTTATTAGTTTTGCAGTCGTTTATTTAACTAAAATAACTTTAACTAAAATCATTTATAAATTGGTTTGTTATTTTTTAAGCATTGTTTAACTTAAATTAGCTAACTAAATAGTAAAAATTATGTTAATTATTTTTGTCTTTATTTCTAGCTGTTTGCAATCAGACATGTTTGAATGGAGGAAGCTGCACCGGTCCAGATGTATGCGGATGCCCACCTGAATACAGAGGACCCCGATGTGAACATCGTAAGGACTATTTCATTCTACAATATTTTAGTCATAAGAACGTTTAATATGACACGTACAATGTTAAAAAAAAACTTAACGTTCATTATAAACTTTGGCCTAATTTTAATCGGATTTTTAAGCAATTAAGATGCAATCTCCATAGTTTAAAGAGGTCTTCTAAGATATTAGCGCAGAGAATAATTTATGTTACGAAATCCAACACAAAAGCGTATTTTCCCTGAATAAGGATTATTTTTCAAAGAATTTGTATTTTTTTTCAAGGTACAGGGTTTGTCCTGAAAAAGTGTATAACTTATTTTACAGTGAAATGAATGTACATCGAATTATGCGCGTACCGATTGGAATTGGTGGTGGTGGCAGGGTGACTTACGTGGTGCTGAAGACTCAGTTTTAACAGGTGCGGTAGATTTGTGCAATATTTAGAAACTTTTCCCATCTTTTGGCGTACTGCAATAAGAAACTTTTCCCTTGATAAAGATAATTTTTGTTGCTTCACGGTAATAAGTCTAGTGGTAAGTCTAAGTCATTTCTTAATGGCTATGATGAAGACTGCTCTGAAAGGCCATAGACAACTACCAGTAACGAAAATGAGACACATGTGACTCAACTTTTTAACTCAGTCGATTGTGTTCAAGAGTTGTTGGGTATTACTTTAATGAAACATTGGTTAAGAATTTCAAAAATTGCTATTCTCGAGACTGTGGCGTACAATTTGTAGATCAGAAAAGAGTTTAAAGAAAAGTCTTGCCATTCCACCTTCCTCATAAACCGCTTCCAGGCAGATTCAATGGTGCCAACGATTTACCAGTCGCTCTATAGACCTGCCATTTCTAATCTAGACTTCTTGTTCCCGTGATTGAAAACTCCCATGAAAAAAACATAATTACGAGAGACTGAAAGCGCTTCCACTAAAACTCTGAAGCATAGATTCTCAACCTTTTTAACGTTGCCGCCCGCTTAAGGAGCAAAAAATATTTTAACGCCTTCGAGAAAATCCAATTATTTAGACATGGGGACGGCAGGAGGTGAGCTGAATTATAAGAGGCAATATTTTTAATCAATTTTTTTACGCTTCAAATTTGTTTGTTTTTTTTAAAAAAAAACATAATGTGTACATTAGCTCTATAATTTCCTCACGGCAGGTAATCACAGTTAATTTGTTATGATCAAAATAAATTTGTTTAATGAAAAAAAAAAATGCAACAAAGAAACCTATGCTTAAGAAGAAGAATTTATTCCGAATTAGATAATTAAAAAAACACTTAAAATAATTTTTTAACTCTAAAAAGTAGTATCAATGAAACATTCAAGTAACTATGTTAGTGGGATGATTATACTTAATGGTTCAGAACCAATTTCTTAACGCTCGGATCAATACTTTTAGTGAGATGAAGACGCAAATTCCCTCGCTGCACAATTTCGAGTCGATTTCTCCTTTTTGAGACAAGATCCATAACTGCACTGAATCCCCGTTCGATAAGTTAAGAGGAAGAGAAGGCAATTAAAAAAAAATTTAACGATTGTGTACAGTTCAGGATAGAGACGACTGATGTTACCTTTAAGCAAACATTCTGTGAGACGATCATCATTTCAAAGTTTCATTTATTAGAAGTTCGACCAATTCCTCGTAAATCTGAACCTCTGTTGTTTCAATATTCACAAAAAGGTTCATAGCCCATAAACCCATTGAGGGACTTCCAGGGAACAAAACATCTTTAAAACGGTCAGAAATGTTCATGTGCAAAGAGTCAATGTGTTGACAATATTCTTGTGCATCATCAGACTGAATTTCGCCTACTTGGCTGAACTCATTCCAACCAAAATTCTGCTTCCACGAAATGAGTTTATTCAGAAAGGCAGAAATAACTGATTTTGTAGGGATCAAATTTAGCTCGTTGCCTTGAAGTTGTAAATTACATTTACAGATAACCATTACATTTTACAGATAAATCAGCCTAAGTATTTCCTAAATTCTAGCAATCTGTCTCTCAGAGCTACGTCTCTGTTTTCGAGGAACTCAAGCACAGAGCCGAAAAGATATCAATACCTATTGAGACAGAAGTTTTTGGAAAGCCAGCGAATCTCGGTGTATAGCAGCAAGCGATTGAATAATTCTTCATTGTTTTTTTTACACAGATGTCTGAATAATCAATCGTGGAGAGCATTACTGTGAATTTTGTTCACAGCAGATATGGCACATTACAATGATTGATACAAACGGTTGTTGAGATTTTTTCCTACTAAATGCTGTCTGTGAATCACGCAGTTAACAGTTAAAATATCTGATACCTCCCTTTCCAAAAGGGCAATAAACCCACAATGTCGACAAATCATTGTAGGAGCCTATCAGTGGCAATGGACATAATATTCGCAAGAGGAATATTTTCTCTTTAAAATAATCTTTGACAGTATTAAAAATAAATTTACCTTTGATATCTATTATCAAGCTTCTTGCAAAAAGCATCTCTTGAATAATTTTTCCTACCTTTACAAACTGGACCTATGCCTTCAGTAAAGCGTACGTTACCAGACAAGGGTGATTCATCAACTTGAAGTTAAAATTCGTCGGATATCAAAGAGAGTTCAACAGTGATTGAGCAAATCCCAACTTCAAGTACGTGGCACTGTATTGATGACACTTCTTTTTGTTAACCGACATTGTTGGTGGGAGCAAAATACAAACGATGAAAGAAAATCAACTATTTCTCAAAATTAATGAATAATTTATGATAAAGAACTAATTCGCGAACGTAAATGGCCAAATAAACTATGAGATCTAATCGAAACTGGGGAAAAAACGGCAAGGAAGCTAACGAAAATCGTTATAAGAAACACGGGTCAAATCAGACATTCTACTGAAAGCTATCAGACATTCTACTTCAATTTCCACCAAATGGCTTGAATGAGTCAGAGGCAAAAACTACTGACTCATGCGCTGAGATGTGTTGGTTCCGATCGGAGAATAGTTGTCATATAAGTTCGTTTTATTGCTGATACAAATGGTGCATCGGATAATCTTTATTTTATTATATTAATTTAATCCTTTTCTTCCTTAATATTAATTTTATTTATTAAATAAATCTCAATTTAATAATTTTATTTGTAAGTTTTAAAATTAAATTTGAATGACAAAACATGCTCATCGCCCCCTTACCTCCCAAAACATACCCAACGCCCCCTACCGCCTGCCCAAAACAAGTTTACTGCCCCTCAGTATACTCCCATCGCCCAGGGCGATGCGAGGCGGACCTGCATCGCCCCCGTTGAGAACCTATGCTCTAAAGAGTACTCCGGAAAAGGCCCACTATGACGCCTTTGATGCCAGAAAATGTCTCTGAAAGCAATGTATCAAGGCTAAAGCAACCTAATTTAAAAAATTTTAATCTGTTGTTTTTATCGGAACAAAAAATCTCATTAACATTACTTTTCAGACAAATCTGACACTTTAGGTAGAAAGTATTCATTTCCTAAAGTTATTTTAACTTGTTGCCTGGATCTAATTGCTCAGAGAATCATTGCATTAATAAAACTAGTTTTTCTAAAGATAGTCTCATGTAATATCTATTTGTTATTTCTTCTCTAACTATGTAAGAGCGAAAATCTATCTGTCTGCATGCATGCATGGATGGGTGCATTCTAATAACTGGAGATCTAATAACGAAAGCTCTAATCTGCATATTCAAGTCTTGGCTTGTAAACAATTTCCACTTTCTGGCGTCATGTAGATCACGCACAATGCTAACGCTTGCCAACCCTCGAAAATTGCTACGCAATCTTATATGGTTTGCTTCGCAAACCAAGCTCGCTTCGCTCGCTACTAACTTAGGTACTTTGCAAATGCACAAAATTCTAAGAATTCAAAACAATCATTCAAATCCACATAACAACTTTTTAAAAAAAAATTTAAAAAAATCAAATCTTTTTAGTAAATACTAAGTCATTNGGAAAGCCAGCAAATCTCGGTGTATAGTAGCAAGCGATTGAATTTTTCATTGTTTTTCTTACACAGATGTCTGAATAATCAATTGTAGTGAGCATTACTGTGAATTTTATTCACAGCAGATATGGCATATTGCAATGATTGATGCAAACGGTTGCTGAGATTTTTTCCTACTAAATGCTGTCTGTGAATCACGCAGTGAACAGCTAAAATATCTGATGCATCCCTTTGCAAAAGGGCGATAAACCCACCATTGCAGGAGCCTATCAGTGGCAATGAACATATTATTCGAAAGAGGAGTGTTTTTCTCTTTAAAATAATCTTTGACAGTATTAAAAATAGATTTAACTTTGATATCTATTATCAAGCTTCTTTCAAAAAGCATCTCTTGAATAATTTTTCCTACCTTTACAAACTGGACCTATGTCTTCAGTAAAGCATACGTTACCAGACAAGGTTGATTCATCAACTTCAAAATCAATATCAAAGAGAGTTCAACAGTGATTGAGCAAATCCCAACATCAAGTACGTGGCACTGTATTGATGACACTTCTTTTTGTAAACCGACATTGTTGGTGGGAGCAAAATACAAACGATGAAAGAAAATCAACTATTTCTCAAAATTAATGAATAATTTATGATAAAGAACTAATTCGCGTGCGTAAATGGCCAAATAAACTATGACATCTAATCGAAACTGGGGAAAAAACTGCAAGGAAGCTAACGAAAACCGTTATAAGAAACACGGGTCAAATCAGACATTCTACTGAAAGCGCATGCACTTCAATTTCCACCAAATGGCTTAAATGAGTCAGAGGCAAAAACTACTGACTCATGAGCTGAGATGTGTTGGTTTGGATCGGAGAATAGTTGTCATATAAGTTCGCTTTATTGCTGATACAAATGGTGTATCGGATAATCCTTATTTTATTATATTAATTTAATCTTTTTTTTCTTTATAAGTTATTTTTAGATTAATTTTATTTATTAAATAAATCTCAATTTAATAATTTTATTTGTAAGTTTTAAAATTAAATTTGAATGACAAAACATGCTC